TTTTTTTTTGGTTAGTTTTTTTTTTTTTAAAAAAAAAAAAGCCCCCTCAAAGAGCCATTTGAAAAGATGTAGCCTTTCAAGAAGAAACTAATGACTGTCAGGTTCCCAGCTGGGCTTGACACGGTTCCAATGTTTACAGGGTCCCTGTGGAGGCTGCACATTTGTAAGATTGGAAATAATAGACTCCTTTGTAGAATAAATACAGCAATTTGGGTCTTAATGGGAACTCTGACACACACCAACCCATTTTAGCAGCACCGTGTATTAACCTTTGAAACTTCAAAAATGGAAGGCAACATTCTGATAAAGGTTCTAAATTACAGGAAAAATATTAACTGAGCATTAAACAGACAACATAGGGAAAATTAGGAAAGGAAAAATTAGTATGGTTACAGTGAACTCAGTGTTACTGGAACCCAGAGCTGAGGTGAGATGGCATTCTGTTTGGGGAAATTGATTTTGTATTTCACAGGCTGAGGATAAACTCTAATTGTTCTTTTATTATATCCTTTAGAGAGACACATAATTATTGCTAAGTGGCAAATGGTCTATAAAATGAGGAGCCATATTGTTAGTTTAATAGTCTAAGCTCTGATTATATTCAAACTAGAAATTTTGGAGAAAAACTAAATATATGAAATATTTCCAATTCTATTTCTCTCTGATGAGAGATGGGGTCCAGTCATAAACAGCAAAAGCAGACTTTCCCTCTCCCATGGCAAGGTGCATGCGATTAAGGTTTTGTCATGTGACAACTGTTTAAAGAATGTTCTTTCTTATCTTTAAGGTGAAATACTGATTGCTTACTTATCAATATGATTAGATTGAAAAGAAAAAAACCATTGTGAAAAAATAGAGACTATACAAATGGAGAATGACTACATCATTACATAACTGCCAAGGTGCATAGTTTCCAAGTTAAATACATAAATACATACACAACTGCCAAATTACAGCATTATATTACTGCCAAACCACGGACAATCAAGGCCCAGTCAAGTTGACACACAGCCTCATCTTTCACAGTAACATTACTCCTACTTCACATGTGAGTCTTCATTACTGCCAGATGTATGTCATTAATGTGATAGAGAGTCACATAATAGCTGTGTCACTATTATAAATGCAAAATATTGGATAATGAAATAGCATGTGAGGAGTAGGTAGGAAGAAGTTGTATAAGAACAAAAATAATAAGAAATCTATCAAGTCTAACTAAAGTCCTGATTAGCACAGAGTAAACTTCACCATGGACTCATGACTTCTCTGCAGTCTCTAAACCATTACGACTCTTTCTTCCAAGAGCCATATGTGTAGCATTACCAAATAGCATGTAGCAGAAAGAGGATGGATACAAATATAAGTCAACTGCACAATTTGGAAATCTAGCATGATGCCTTTTTAGTAGATACTGCTGACATTTTTAGCCCACTAGTTTGTTTTGCTTGAAGTGTTTCGTTTTGTCTGCTCTCATTCTATCCTCATGGCAGAATTTAAGGATGTGGGGAAAGCAACCTTATCTTATTTTAAAGGTGGGATCACTGCAGTTCAAGAAAGCTCTCTAACTCACCCAAGACCAACCATGTCAGTGGTAGTGTGACAGG